CGTAAACCAAGTGTGAACTTTTGGAATGTCATCTGCAATAAAACCGTAATTAAGTTACTACCATAAAAATCACAAATGACAATGAAAAGTAATACAAAACAAACTTATGAATTAACATTAATTGCAAAAACTAAAAAAATTAAAGACGCACAACTGAAATTTGAAGAAGAGGAAGGAGAGGAGTGAAGATTTTGAGTTTTCTGGGGCTGCCTTTTATAGGCAAATTTTACATGGAAAACCGCAGGGGGAGCGGTTTTAGTCTAGCATGCAGCCCCCACCCCTGCAACCTCCTCCATGCCGACATGTCGGGTGTCGGGGGAATGGGGCTGAGGCACAAACCGCTGGGGGGAGAGGGGGGGGGGGTTGTGCATCGACATAATAAACCGCTTACCTGAGGGGAGGTATATATTGCTGACACATAACCGCTCCCAGAGCACGCGGTTTGTGCTAGGCAGCCATGGGAACCGCTCCTTCGAAGAGCGGTTTTCCCAAAAAACACAAACCGCTCCTCTGGCATGCGTTTCCATGGTAAACCGCCGCCTTGCTGTGCAGTTTTTATTTTAACCGCCCCTGCGTGGTGCAATTTTCAATTAAGGGTGGTAGATTTGAAATTTTTTCGGTATGGGTGGTAGTTTTGTAAGAAAAAATTAAACAGTGGTAGTTTTGGATTTTTTCCACCCTCGTGGGTATTTTAGTTTCACAAAGTGCCGCCAAGAACACTTCTCCTTTAATTTCAGAAATGTAAAATGTAATGAGATTGCATCTCATGTAGATATATACTAGTTTTCTACCCGGCCAGTTGGCCGGAGAAGTTCATTTTATTATTTATATTAGTGAACTTATCTACATATTTTGAAATTTTTGGATCTTGTATACATTTTATGCTCTCGCTTCATAAGTGAATATGTGGTATGTCTATATCGAATAATATTTAATAGTTAGCACACTCGCTTGTGATGTTTTTATTCTCTGATCATAAATCATGTCGTAAAGGTTTATCACGTCCCATTTAGGATAGTATATAAAAAAATTTCCACCAAGACGCTCAAATTTATTATCTTATACAACATATATTAATTCATGATTCTCGAGTTTGTACGAACTCTCACCCAATTAACTAGAGTTCAAATTATTGGAAAAATATACTTGATTACTGGATAAATTATATTTATCCCAATTGAAATTTGACACACATCGTATCCCTTAAAATGATTAAATTCTCTAAACCTCACTTATTTTTATTGTTGATGTTCATGAAGTCTTTGTATAGCAACTTATTACAATTGCTAATATTTTAAGTTTGTACTAACCCTCAACCCATGCATTTTGTTTAGACGTTCGTTTAGAATCTGAATCCAAGGATTGATAAATAAAAAATATGAATCCAAGGATTCATATACACTATTGAAGGTTCTCATCTTAACATGTTCCTTCAATGTATAACTTTTCAACTATTTGAATGTCCATTCGCTAAAATTTCTTTATATTTGGTGTTTGTTCTAAAACAAAAATTTCATTACTTATATTAATAATTGGTAAAGTGTGTATACGACCGACAAATATTTCAAGTGCATTCAAAATTATATATTCCATGAATAATTAACTTATAATTTTTAACAAAATATTTTGTAGCAAAATTTAAAAGTTCATACAAACATTGTGGCTTTTCACGTGTATTTAAATTATTGGATGTATTGTAGACACATCTATTGTTAATATCTAAACATATATATTGTTAATATCTAACCATATGATATCCAAACATATATATGATATATGACATATATTGTTAATATCTAAACATATATATGAGAGTTTATTTTACTTTCAACGCTAATTAATACCGTTGAACTCAGCTCCTTGGGTGGAATATGATATCAATTTTTTTATTATTGCTAAAATTTGGTATGAAATTACAGACTCACAACTTACAATTTTCTCACTAAACTTATATATATTAAATATTCTTCTTTTGACCCAATAGCTCGGTTTACACTATTGTAATTATAAATGTTTTTTTTGTTATATATGTGAAGTAAAACATTAATGTTTATTTATTACTTCAATTTTCGAATTTAGATTTTTTCTTAGCATGAAATGTGATGTTTAACGTACATCCTTAACAAAGATTTCTCTAAATTTCACACATTTCATTTTTCAAGTTATCTCATGTCTCATCCTAGAATATGAAGTCAAAGTTCATCAACTATTATACTCAAGTCATTTTAGAAACTTCAATTTATAATCTTTAACAATAAATAACTCCAAGTTCGAAAAGAAAATTTCTTAGCATATGATGTAAGACCTCAATAGAGCTTTCTCAATCAACATGACCTAGAGAAAATATTAGTAATGTAAACTTAGGATACATTATAAATACTGCACATGCGATTCATATGTTTTCACTTGATCAGAATGAATAAGAAGTTTTTTTAATAAATAACTATTATTTCTTGGTCAAGTTTCTTTCATACCTTATCGACAAAATATTATTATTTTTTGTGTTTGTTTAAATTATTCATTAAAAAGTAAATTATTGTTAAGTGTTAGTAAAAATGAGCAGAAATTTACATGGTAATCTTTAATCATATATTTTTTGGTTTAAAAAGTGTGTATATATGTCACTCTACGTACATTAGTATACTGTTGCATACATCGATATAATGAAAAACCAAAATGTGATATATGTCACTCTCCATCATGATTGTCACGTCAGCCGGCATGCCACCGGTTGAACCATTAAACCGGTACCAGTCATGAAATCGACATGACACCATCGGTATGACCGGTATGATTGTTTTACGAATTTCTAAGTAAATTACGTAGTTTTAGTGAATTTAAGTATGAGTACATGCAATTTTATTTGAAATATCATATTTTATTTAAATATCAATATGAATTGTACGTAAATTGTCTTCAAATATGGTTTATATATGATTAAATTAATTTGATATTAATACTTTTTGATATTTCTACATATTTTATTAACCGGCACGAAACGACACAAACCGGTTGTACCACTGATAAAACCATTCCACTTGCTAAACCGGTTTGATAACCTTTCTCTCCATATATTATTTATAGATATAATGCAAAAACAAAAGCAAACTAATTATTGGATAAAAGAGAATTAAATATTAATGAAGAGAGAGGGACAACTCCATAAATAGGTCAATAACTATTTTTTTGGTAAAAAAATTGTCTACCTTGGCAACTTGAGATCTCTCCAAATGCTTATGTGGCAAAAATTTAATTTTGAATTGCCATAATATGATGTATGTATGTATGTATGTATGTATGTATGTATGTATGTATAGATAGATGAAGAAGATGAAAGCAACATTCTTAAAGGTGGATGTTGAGAGTTGAGTTTACATTAAGGTTGTCGACCCGAGGGTCGACCCCATCAATTGCCCCGTTTTGATCCTGACCTGTTGAAAAAAATGGGTCGCGCACACCTATTGGGTTAACCCACTGCAAGGTTACCGGGTTGGAGGTCACACGGTGCCATTTTTTCATTTGGTTTGCGAAATGTGCCTAATTTTTTATTTTGCTCTTCACCTATTCCTATCTTAGGAATTCTGAGTTGAATATTTGAATATTGACATTGTATAAGTGTGTGTGAATTTTCAAAATGTGTTGGATCCAAGTATAACATGTTATTTTGTTGTAATGTTATATGAAATTATTACTCAAATGTTAGATGAGATTTGATATAATTAGGCTAATGACTATTTATTAACCAAAACTTTTCCGGATCCTTTTTTATTAGCCAAATCTATTGTTAACCAAATGTTAACTTTCAGTTAGCAATTTTGTTAGTAATATTAACTTGGCAACACGATACTGACTTGGAAGAGAGAAATGCACGTTAACATTCCAAAAATTTAGTATTTTAACTAAGAAAAGAGTTACAAAATTATTAGCAATAACGTAAAATGGCTAATATTTTGATGCATTACGAAAGATTTGGATAATTAATAGAATTTTAATAGGTTTTGATAATATAAAAGAATCTGAAAAAGGTTTGGATAAAAAATAGACATTACTCATATAATTAATACTATATGAAAACTATAATGACTATTTCATATTTCCAGGCTAAATCGAACTACAGAATGATCGGATCATTAACTCTCAACTCACTTACTCAATCTGGCTAAACCAAGATTAGCCAATTTCTTTATCTAAAGGTTAATTAATTTCTACTTGGTCAATGATCATAGAAGCCTACATAACAGGAGAAAGCATTAAGGATGCGCCAAGAAAAATTCTTCCTAGCCTCCATCAATGTATGTGACCCATGAAAAATAACGCCCAACACAAATTAGAAAATGTTATATATGAGCTTCGTGGTGAAAAAAAATGCTCTCTGCTGACAACGGCGAAATCCCGGCTCCGATGACGGCTCTACCTCCTTTTGATCGGCCGCCGGACACATCGCCATCGCCTGACTCAACGAAGGTACTGAGCACCTAGGCGGGGGTTCGGTTGATGGTAACTCGTCAGCGATGATCATTGATTCCTCGTCATCAAGCCAACAACCATTGACATCTTCGACGCCGCCTCAACAATTCTCCTATGCTAACCAGGTGACTGGGTGGAAGCCCGCTTCTACTGTGGGCAACGGAGCTGACTCCTGGACCCCAGTGGACGAGAATGACCTTATTCCAGGTCTACGGAATGGAGAGCCGGCTCTCAAGGTTTCTAACGACTTCAAGAACAGGATCTGTGCCCCATGGCAGCGCACCCTGGTTTTCCGTTTGATGGGGATCAAAATCGGATTCTCCACTTTGTGCTCCCGTTTAAGGGGGTTATGGAGACCTACCGGACTTATGGAGGTCATGGATCTTGATCATGATTGTTTTCTAGTGAAGCTTGGCAATGAACAAGACTACTTTCGCGCTCTCACTAACGGCCCTTGGGTAATTTTTGATCATTATTTGGTGGTGCAACAGTGGACGCTGAAGTTCAAGGTCTCTGATCCTCTTCCGAAAATAATGATTGTGTGGGTTCAGCTTCCGGCTTTGAAGATACATTTCTATCATAAGGAGGTGCTGACCATGCTGGGAAACCTTATAGGGCGAACGATCAAGTTAGATTTCCACACCCTTAACCGGCAACGAGCCAAATTTGCTCGGTTGGCGGTGGAGGTCGATCTTTCCAAGGACCTTGTTCCAAGAATATGGCTTGATGACGCCTGGCAGAAAGTGGAGTATGAAAATCTCCCGGTGGTTTGTTTCGATTGCGAAAAGATTGGGCATACTGCGACAAGCTGCCCCCATAGGCAACTGGCAAATCCAACGACCACTTTGGTGATCTCCGGCGAGACGTTGCCGGCCTTCGGGCCATGGATGCGGTTACTCGCAAAAGTCGACGGAATCAACGGGATGTGGATAGAAAAGGAAAACAGGAGAGTGAAAGTGGGAAACCTGCTGCAGGAAACCTTGGTAATTTGGGAAAGGTTTCTCCACCTGGGAAAGGAGCAATTACTCTCACCAAGGAAGGTGGGGATCTCTCGCAATTGACAGCTCCACCTTCCAATCTCCGACCTCAACGATCTCCTAGCCAGGAAAGGAAAGTCAGTTACGGAAAGAATAAAATAGAAGAAGGAAGGAAAGGAAAGGAGAAAGTAACCAACGTAGTAGCCGTTGGAGGGAAAGGACTGTTGGGCTCTGGGCCTACTCCCCACCAGCCCATGGAAAACATAGCGAAGCCTGCTGCTGCCCAAAACCCGACCCCAACTTCGCCCCAATTCCAGCAACCCCTTTCAAGAACTACCAATGGCCCATCTACGTCTTCTAGCTCGGCCCACCTGTTGGGAGCAACAGCGCAACCCCTCAATCTTCCTCCTCCGCCAGCCATCCAGACCGTGATAGGGCCCAACGGGACGGTGATGCAGATAGTTCACCCTCAACCAGATGATGCCAATCAAAATTCCGATGACCACCAATCTTCACCGACGACCTCCGCCCAGACGAAGCGCAGTAAGAGCAAGAAGGCCCTCAACAGGAAACTGCCGGGCAAGCCGAGTCCAGCCAAAGCTCTCCAAATTTGGTCTCCGAAGAAAGATCAAAAACCCAAGTCAAAGGCTAGAATGGCGGTTCTCACCTTGCAAGAAATTAACGCTTGGACGAGCGCCGCTCAATCTGCGAATGAGAACGTTAAGGAAGCTTCGACAGTTAGCCCTTTGGAGGAGCTTACCTCGGTGAAATCGCCGACGGAAGGGGCGAACAACCCCACACCTTGAGGCGTTTTCTCTCCTTCCCTCTATCCTCCTTCTTTCTCTTTTCTTTGTTTATGCCTATGATTTATAATACCAATCTGAAAATTTTGTCTTGGAATGTTGGTGGCGCAGGTGGGAAGGCCTTCTTTCGTGCTCTTAAGTTGGTTATCAGCACCAATCGGCCGGATTTTGTCATCTTGTTGGAGCCGCAAATCAGCGGGGAGGCGGCTAATTCTGTTTGTGATAGATCGGGTTTTCCCAAATCCTTTCGTGTGGAAGCGACATGCAGGAAGGGTGGTATTTGGATGTTCTCGATAAGGTTTTCTCACCGAGGGTGATTTCAGCTAGCAGCTAGCAGCCATCAAATTTCTCTCCAAATTGAGCAGCCCTCCCTGGCGCCTTGGGTGTTGACGGCGGTATATGCTTCTCCCAGACAAAGCGATCAGCGTACTTTGTGGGACACTATTCTTAACCAGAGCAAGCAGATTAATATTCCGTGGCTTCTCACGGGGGACTTCAATGCGATCCGCGAGCCGGGTGAGAAATCAGGGCCGCCTGTGAGCTCTACTGCCAGAAGATGTCGCCTGTTTAATGACAGAATTAACATGGCAGAGCTTATTGACTTGGGTTTTTCGGGTCCCAAATTTACTTGGACCAGGGACGATCAGCACCAGACTTTCAAAGCGAGCCGATTGGATAGAAGCTTGTGCAACCTTGTGTGGAACTCGAACTTTCCCACCACATCAGTGATGCACCTTCCACGGGCTCAGTCAGATCACAATCCCATCTTAACTACGGTCACTTCTCAAAGTGGTTCTCCGAGTAGCGTGCGTCCCTTCCGTTTTGAGGCTGCTTGGCTTACTCACGATAAGTTTATGGATGTAATTACTAACGCCTGGAGCGAGCAAGCTTCTTTCCAAGTTTCTCTGTCTAATCTTGCAGGTACTCTCCAAGAGTGGAACATAGACGTTTTCGGCAATATTCATAAAAGGAAGAGGCGGTTTTTGGCTCGCATCAAGGGGTGGAGGACAGGTTGGCCATCCAGTTCTCCCCGGGGTTGGCTAAGCTCCATTCGAAGCTGGAAGTTGACCTTGACAGCGTCCTAGAGCAAGAAGAGCTCTTTTGGTTCCAACGCGCTCCGGATCAGTGGGTGAAGCATGGGGAGCGGAATATGGCATACTTTCACCATCAGACCAATCTGAGGAGGAGACGGAAGAAAATCGAAGCGGTGCAAGACGAGAATGGCTCTTGGGTCACCGACCCCTACTCTCTCGCTTTGTTTATCTTTGATTTTATTGTTAATCTATACCTGCAGGACAATTCGGTTTATGAGGACAGGCTTCCTAGGGGTTCATTTCCGAGGCTGAGGCAGGAAGATTTGCAGGCCCTTCTCCGCGCCTTCAATATTACGGACATTCATAGAGCCATCTTCGGTATGAAGCCATTCCAAGCCCCGGGGCCTGATGGGTTCCATGCTGCTTTCTACCAGCAAGCTTGGAATATCGTGGGGAAGTCCATCTCGGATTTGGCACTGACGTTCTTCACCACTGGGACCCTTCCTCCGACGGTCACAGATTCTACTTTGGTGCTAATTCCAAAGGTGGAGTCTCCTGAGATGGTAACTCAGCTTCGCCCGATATCCCTCAACAACGTTAGTCTCAAAGCCATCACGAAGGCTATGACGAGCATACTGAAGCCGATCATGAGGAAGTTGGTGTCCCCGCGACAAAGCAGTTTCATTCCTGGCAGGCAGGCAACTGACAATATCATTGTGGTGCAGGAGGTTCTGCATTCTTTCAGGAAAAAAGGAGGCAAAAAAGGAGGCCTAGTCTTTAAGATCGATTTAGAGAAAGCGTATGACAGATTGAGATGGGATTTTTGAGAGACACTCTTAAAGAAGTTGGTCTCCCTAGCTCATGGATTCAGTACTGCATCATGTATTGCGTGGAGAAGAAGAGGATGAGAGTTCTATGGAACGGAGAGCTGTCTCAACCCATCTCTCCTTCGCGGGGAGTTCGACAGGGAGACCCTCTTTCCCCGTATTTGTTTGTTCTGTGTATGGAGCGCTTGTCTCACATAATTGATTTGGCGGTTCGGGATGGTCTTTGGAATCCTGTAAGACTGTCTCCGAATGGCCCTCCTCTGACCCATCTTTTCTTTGCAGATGATTTGTTGTTGTTCGCAGAAGCGGAGTCTCGCCAAATAAATATTGTGAAACAGTGTCTGGAGGACTTCTTTTACAGCTCGGGACAACACGTCAACTACAACAAATCCATTCTGTATGTCTCGCCTAACGTTGCTAGAAGGAAAGCCTCCCGTTTGAGCCGGCAGGCAGGAATTCCTCTCAAGGCAGCTTTAGGGTGGTACCTGGGAATCCAAGCTATTCATGAAAGAGTGAACAAAGACAGATATCAATCCCTTCTTCTTCGGATTCAAAGACGGATGGCTCCCTGGAAAGCTAAGCGGCTATCTTTTGTTGCTCGTCTTACGTTAACCCAATATGTTTCTATTGCTTTGCCTATCTACAATATATAGACTGAGCTTCTCCCGACCAGTGTGTGTAAGGCAGTGGATAAACTCAGCAGGGACTTTATCTGGGGGAACGAGGAGGAAAAGGCCAAGATGCACTTAGTCTACTGGGAGAAGATGACGAGGCCCAAGTCTCAAGGTGGGGTGGGTATCCGGACTACTCGCGAGACTAACATGGCCATGCTTGCGAAGTGTGGCTGGCGTCTTCTCCAAGAAAAAAGACAGTCTCTGGAGAGGATCAGGGGCTTCATGTGGCAGGCCTTTTTGAATAAGCTCGTGACTAATTCCTTGCGTCACTCCAGGAAGCTGTCGCCCAACCCTTGTTGTGTGAGATGCATGGGACAGCCGGAGACAGTCATTCATATACTCCGGGATTGCCCGCCGGCGCTTTTCTTTTGGTCGCGCCATGTTCCTTTTGAGATGCAGGCGGCGTTCTTCAGCTCCCAGCAACAAGATTGGATGTGGGCCAACCTGACCAGCAGCGCCTCGACAACTACAGGTGTTGGATGGCCAGGCTTCTTCAGCATTGTTGCCTGGCTCATTTGGAAGAATCGCAACTCATCAGCCTTCCACGGAACTTCGGCTGCCTTGACCCCGCCAACTCTTGAGCATTCTATCTTGGTCAAAGCTAAGCTGTGGAGCGATTCTTGGAACTCGTCTTTAGGTCTTCTAGACAACAGGATGCGACCAGCCCATCGTGTAACTGCGAATATTGGGTGGTGTTCGCCTCCCAGGGGTGGATTTCACTCAACATAGATGGTGCGTTGTGTGGAAATCCGGGAACTGCGGGGGCTGGAGGGGTGCTGCGTGACAACACAGGTAGATGGGTGGGAGGTTTTGTGGCCAACCTTGGGATGGCTACTGCCGCTCTAGCTGAAATCTGGGCTTTCAATCACGGTATTGACTTGGCCTGGAAAGGAGGACACAGGACTCTAATTATTACGACCGATTCACAGCTGGCCATTCAACTCATTGAGAACAGGGTTGATCCGATTCATCCGTACGCTACCCTCTTATCGGTTATTCGTAGGAAGCTGAGCCGTGATTGGCTGGTTCGCATTACTCATACGTACCGGGAAGGGAATAGAGCCGCGGACTGGCTCTCGAAGCACAGTCTCGTCTATCCCTACGGTATGCATGAGCTTGCGAATCCTCCGACCGGGTTTACGCCGATTCTCAAGGACGACATGTTTCGAGTTACCCTAGAGCGCCGGGTTGTGGCGCCCATCCCCTCCCCTCTGTAATCCTCTGTAGCTCCCTTTTCTAGTTTCTTGGCTTCGGCCTCCATCCATTGCAAAAAAAAAAAAAAACCTCTTGTGCAACAGTAAACGACTTATGGCTTTAATTATATTTATTATATGTGCCTATTAGAGCATCTCCATTGGAATTGCATTTAGACATGACATTTATTTGCAATTGCATTGATGTAGATGACAATTGCATCTTTGCAAGCTTGCATATAATGCAATTATGAGATGTAAGCCATGTCATCTTTTTTTATTATTAAATTATTCATTAATTTTGTTATTTGAGTGTTTATGTTTTATTAAACTAAATTAAAAAAACTTAATTGAAATTTCAAGACAATTACATTGATGCAGTGAAATGAAAGTAATATGAGTTGGATTGCAAAAAATTTGAGATAACAACAAAAAGCAAAAATGCAATTGCATGTGCAATTATATTGATGTGGATGCTCTTAGAATATACGTTGCAAAGCTGGAGGCGGAGGTTCAATTTCAATATCTGGCCTCCACCGTCAAAACTGGGGTC